GGTCTCAAAGCAATCCCGAGGGCTGCTTTCTGGGACTGCTTAGGTGACAGGTTGGGTCTGGTTGGTACTATAACATTTGTCCGATACTAGAAAAGTTCTTAAAAGAATCGGCCTTTCTTGTAAGGATGTCTTTTTCATATGTAAAATTTGCCTTCATTTCCATTTGTCACCTTTGCTGCACTGCGTAAAAAGTATTGGATATAATTTATGTCAAATTTCTCATGTGGTGAATAGAAATTTAAAGACATCAACTGATATCTTTTTTTTTTTTTGGTATTTAATTATTAATTTATGCAATTAAATGAAACTTCTATAACAGAAAATGTGATTTAAGTGACAACTCAGACACTTGGATTGGCTATAATTTAGAAAACTTTGAAATACTTTACTGATTCAACTTTGATTTACTTAAGGTTTTCCATCCCTAATAGGACCTTTTTCTCTATCCTTAAATATCCATCATATATATAATACTCTGATATTAGTTCAAAGCATTTTACAGTAGAAAAAGATTTACGAAGAGAAAGTTTCAAAAAATGTAATTAACAAAGCAGTAATTTATTTAATTAACAGAAACTGCATTGAAGTCTAGGGAGACAAGCAATTTTTTTTAAAATAAAAATTCAAATAATAAGAATATCAATAAATACTGTGGTGGGAAGATACATTAAATCATTAGAAATAGAATGACAATTGAAAACGATTTTTTTACTGTATAGATTTTTTAAAATTGATATTTATTACTTTAAAAAGAGGGAGATAACTCTTCAACAAAGGTCAAGGTCGTGAATTAGGACACGCTCCATTCTTATATGCTAATAGTAATAAATGGGAATTATGTCTAAATATACTGAGTATTCCACTCGTAAACATCTGTTATGTATTCAAATGTATTGAATCTGAGGCTATTAGGGATGGAATGCCTTAATTGATAACTTTGACCCTTAGATTTACTAAATTGATAACGTTGAAACTTTCATTTACTCTATTGATCACTGAGACATGATAGTGAAAACTTTAAAAAACTTTGATTAACTACATTTATTACTTTGACACTTTAGTTAAATACAGTTTAGAATAGATTTTTTTGGTTGGGTTCTTAGCCTTTCCTGTCCTTTAAGTACCCACTAAAGTATATTGAATTTTCAAGAAATAATATTTATCTCACCAGACAACCATATATTTTACATCAAATCATTCGAAATATATTATCAAAAAATCTTTGATTTATTGGAATTTGTAATTATGGAATGACAACCGAACAGAAAACGTTCATTGTATTGATAATTATCTTAATAGTTAAGAATCATAAGGAATTATGTCCATTCGTGTTTCTAGCATCCATAAAGATGGCTTTCATTGAAAGATTATTTTATTATATCTTAATTATATGAAAGTTAAAATGTCAGGTACCTCTCAGGGACCACTATTGTTGACAATGGAGAACAAAGTAAACACTATTTATAATGAATATCAGTACTTAATAAGGTTGTAAAAAATAATCATTTATTATCCTTTATGTCCGTTTGAAAACGATCAATAAACGTTTCCAGTAGATTGTCTTATATGAGTTGCAAAAAAGTAAAAAAAAAAAAAAAAAAAAAATCCATATGAGAGCTTATAATTTTTTTTTTACAAAAATTATCAACCACCATCAGAAAAGTTTTCGGGTGGGGAAATTTAGATCAGGTTTTCTATGTTTGATATTAGGAGTTAAACTCCTAAAATTGTACATGTGGTGTAAATACTAAATAGATTCAATTATGCGTCGATTTTGCCAATTTATGTCAGGGTCTTCTCAATCAGAATTGTACTCTAGAATTAGATAAACATATAGAATTTACAATCCTTTACTTGGATAATTTAGTGTTATATATTAAATATCTGACATAAAGAGCAAGAGCCACTTAGGGCCTTTTTTGGCCCTGTGAATTTCTGAAAATTCAAAACTGTATAGTTTTAGTTAACAAGGCAATAAATAAATGCTTGAGCACTTGGAGAATGAATATCTACTGAAAATGACGTAATATTCTTTCTAGTCAATGCATTATGACGTCATGAATTGCGTCATTATTCACATATCCTGAATACTTCTGCAAAAATGGACAAAATATGATGCCATTTTTCAATATTTCGTATACAGCACAACCTCCGATCCAAAGTGTGTAAATAGATTATAAAAGACCTTTTAATGAAGATTATAAAACATATTTTAATTCTTGGATCGAAGGGTGTGCTCATATTTTAATTCTTTGCTGAAGGTTCTCAAAAACAACTGTTTTCTGCAAAACTCAATGACAATGCAATTTCACACAACCTGATTTTCAATGCCTGGACTCTTCAAGGGAAATTCTGTTATATAAACTGAAAGCACTAAGTCTCTACTTTATATTAATGTTGAAAATGGTACACGAGGTATTAGTCAATAAATTGGTATATTTACAGGGCAATTTTATGCATAAAGTGAACCTAGCTCTTTATTAGTTAAGAAAAATTAATCCCAATATTAAAAAAAAAAACAAAAACTTTCTTTTTTCATTTATAATTTTAAATATATGATGTGATGGAAAACATATCCGACTAACATATTTCGAGCAAAAGAAAACTTATGCCATTACAGTTTTTTTTTTATTTCAGTGTTTTAACTGGGGTTTTCTCGTCTTCTGGTTTTAATCTTGATATTCTCGGCTTTGTTCTTCATATATTCATTACATATTATTGTCACTTATATAGGTGACTTTTGGCTAGAGTTGACTAATTTTCTGAGTAATAACATAGTAAATATTGCAGATGTTAGATTCATCCTCTGGGTGGAAGAAAAAATAAAATGTTAAAGATCGAATTCCTTCATTTCATGGTTAAGAATATAAATACTTGTCCCAAATAAAAGTAAATGTAATTGAAAAAAGCTAGCTGAACGGTATATACTTTGCATTTGTTGTCTTGATAAATTCGTCTCGACGAATCAAGACATTCGTTGTACCGTCCAATGGACTGTATAAATTAAGCTTATTCTGGCGTCTTTTGTTTATTTAAAAGATATTTGATACCCATTCAGGTAACCATTGGTATAAAAATGACATTTATTCACAGTAAATATATAGTTAATATTCCAAATGATTTTTCATCATAGTTGGACGAAAAAAATTTAAGTAAAAATATGCTTATAAGATCCCTGAGGATAACCAAAAGTAATCAAGCTCAAAAGTCCATCGGAACAAAGCAAATTGGGAGCAAAGCAAACACGGACCTCTATAAACATCAGAATCGGAATAAGTTGCCATGGAGTAGTGAGCATCCCCTGCCTACCGGTCACACCTGCCATCTGCTCCTTGACATGATGGCGCAAACGAAAAAAAATCCGAAGACAATTCAATGTAAAAACAATGGCCTAACAATTTGTATGAAAAACGTCAGTCAACATTTGACTTGGACGATAGTTTGTATTTGCTGACAAGGTCATTGTATCTACCATAGAATTTGCAAAATGTTGGCTAAATTCTTGACTGTTGATATCCTTGTACCATTAACTTGTTTGTCAATAGCTTGTCTCGTTTCAGAAATTGTTCGTACGTAGAGCATGCTCTTGCGTGTTGAATCAACTGGAAGACGTAAACTCCATATGCAGGTGATAATGGTATAACGCTACATAAATAAAGTTAGAAAAGTTAGTCATCAAGGTTATCATATTGTTTTGTTGCCATTACTGATTTTTTTTAGTAAAATATCAAAATATAAAACGGATTTGTCAGAATCTCTCGTGTCTTTTTTTCGAGTCCAGAGAGACATATCGAATCAATATATGAATGAAAATGAAAATTGCTAACTGATAAGACGTCGTCGATGTATCTGAATGTCGAATCGAAGGCCACAGTAAGATACTTCTTCTTTTCATGTAGAACTATTTGAATAAATTTTGTTTAATAAAAATACAAAAAAAGTTCGGGGCCAACCTCCCAAAAAGTGACAAGCACAAAAAATTGAATAAATAAATAATTAAAAATAGAATAACATAAAATAAGGGTTTATACTCGAAAATCCTATTTCGTAGGAGGAGGGCTGAGGATTGGACCTTTCTGTTACTTTTTGGTACATTTATTTTTTCATTTTTTTTTAATTTGCCAGTGCTCAACCATACAGCAATAAAACGGAGGGGGGGGGGGGGGGGGGGCAACCAGCAATTAGATGAAAATTTTCTATAGCAAAATACTATACTCAGAAACAATTGCCCCTTCCCCCTCCAGCGTTCTACAGCCCTGACGGGGCGCAATTAGTACCAATTTGTATCCCAACAGATTGTTGTAGGACTTTATCCCTGAAGATATTTTCGATAAGAAATCCTAGCATCATTTAAATATCAACTTCGGAGTGTTTGTGTGAAGAATCAGAATGTTTTTTTAATAATCTTGCAAATGATCAATGACAAAGTATATAAATTAAAGAGTTCCATTTTTATTGGAAGAACAGCTTACATGATGTCCTGGACTTTAATTTATCGTGCAGAAAATTGTGGGGAAGTAAATAATAATCTAAGGACAGTTTGTTGAATTATATATATTTGTACATTTCTTGATAATTTTTAAACAACAAATTTTCGATGAAAAAAATCATTATTTAGACTTACTACTTCATACATGCTGATTTTTGTATCTCAATAAAGGAATTAATCTCGAATATCACATCACAAAGAAAACATAATTCAAAAACCAGACTGAGTGAAATATATGAGATGTCAAAAGCTTCTACTATATAAACTTAAATGTTATATACGAACATATAACTAAAAACTTTATAATAAACATCTCATTTAAAAGAGGAAGGAGATATGTAAGATTATTATCAACAAAGAAATTGATTTAATGCTTCAAGTAACACATAAACCCATACTTATTTTCACTACTCTACACTCAAGGATCCAAATCATTTACAAAATCCTCAACAAACCTTGACAATATCAATGAAATAATAACGAGTTGCCTTTATATCAATATATCTGTAGTTTATTTTTTGGAACAAACAGCGCACACTAGTTCTCTTCCCTCAACATAAGGTGGACATTTCAATGAACCACATCGACCTTCTACAAAAAAGAATAGGTAGCCATGTTTTGTAGCATGACCGCCATGCAAGGTATCTGGATTTTGGTCTAAACATGTGTATGTTGTCCCAGCTGCATGATCATGATATCCAGCCATTAGGTAACCCTGGTACTCGAGGTCCCAGCCTTTGTAGCAGGTTTTTCTTGCTTTAATAAAACATCAAAATTACTATCAAAATTTGAGGGAAAAATATGGTGATTTTTTTTGGAAAAAATTAATATGTACAACATTCTATACGGCAGAAATAGCGTGTTGTTAAAGTCATGTTTTATGTATTATATCTACATGTATTATAGCATATAAAGACTGATTTGTAAATTTGTACAATCTGATTCTAATTGGAAAATGTTGGTTCTCTTTCATTTTAAGATTAAACCAGTTGATTAACTGACATTTCAAACATACACATAATACATTCAGCTTACGGAGAAAAATCGCAACAAGGAATATATTGACAGATTGTACCTTTTTGTATTCGAAATGTAAATCACACAAATACATAACAGAAGTAAAGCTAGACCAACGATAAACGATTATATATGATCATGAGACAAAAATGAATATGTACATGTACACACACATATATATATATATGAAACATATGTGTTAAGTGTGATCAAACGTAATTACTAGCTTTATAAAAAATGTGAAATATAAGAATTGTATTTAAAGTTATGGGAACATGAAAGGTCGACAATTCTAAAAAAAAAAATCCAAAATGTAGTATATCTTGTATTCTGCACAAGGAGAGTCTAACAACTTAAATATAATACATGTATTCTCTCTCTCTCTCTCTCTCTCTCTCTCTCTCTCTCTCTCTCTCTCTCTCTCTGCTTGTCGATACAAGCTTCCATCTGAATATTTTTAAAGGTACGTGTATATGACATATGGGAATAAGAATATTTATGTACATTTATGGATATTGACACCAACAAATCATTTTAAAGATGCCCAATCTACTTGATCTCTGCGTGGGTTTTCATGCAGACTTGTTTCAAACGCGTCCCAGTACCCTTGGTTGCCGTCATAATTAAATACAATAACGTCACAGTTTCAATGACGTTAAATTGCACTAAAATATATCGCTATTTTTGGATACCTGGTAGGTCGTACTGTTCATGTTGAAAGGTCACTCATTTTGGCATTTCAATAATTTTTTGTGTCTTAATAAGTAAGTTTTAATTTATAAACAACTTTGTAATGTAATTTATTTTGACGTACTGTCTATTTCTATCAGTTTTATCTTATTTAATTTTTAAGCTTGAAAAACTATTGCAACCAACAGTAAACGGATTTAGTCTTTCCCCTTGAAAATGTTTATTTACCATCTTAATGATAACTTAATTTTTTAAATAAAAATTCTATGATTCATTTACATGCACCAAAGGAGAAATATTTCAGTTACCTACATATAACCAAGTTTTGTAATTTTAGCGCCTTTTCAACCACCCTCCTTTATTCCATGTACTGCAAAGTTGTGCGTTAAAATAAAGTAAAGAGTGTAGAGAAAATAATTCTTTCATAATGTTAAAAGCAATTAATTTTGGGAAACATATACAGCATAAAAATTATTTGTTGATATTATGTTAACCTACTGGGGACCTATGAAGTATTTTAGATAAAATCTGTAGTTCTATTTTTGTGTTTTGATTCACTCCCTTTTCACTACAATAAAGGCTACCCCAATTTTTTTTTTCATTTTTTTTTATGAGGAATGGACATTGCCTAATATATTGTAAAAAGCAAAATATTTTATCCTTATTACTTTTAATTTCTTGCTTTAATAGGTACTTATCCAAATAATTGTGTGTAAATTAAAACTTCGAAAAATGGTCCATATATTGAAACGGTTCCTGTTCCACTACAATCAAGGCAAGGTAATAAAATTTCGTCCTAATTTTTGCTTAGCATGGTACAAAAAAATATATATATCTAAGATTCAAAACGAAATTGCAGTTCCGTTTTCGTAATTTTCAACTAGATTGGGCTTCTTTAAACACAAATCATTCTTATTTTTATTTTCTAACCTGGAAATATTTTCACAATGGATCTATTTTGAACAAGGCAAACAGCACAGGGTACGTCTTGATGGTGAAATGAAGCAAAGCGACTAATGAATGTACTTGTTTCGTACTCTGCCCCATATACAAAAGCCTTATGTCCATTCTTTCCATCACTGTAAACCCCCCACTCCGGATCCCTCGGTAAACAAAGAGGATCCACAGCCGCTCCTTTCTCCGTATAATGTGATCCTCCAGCAAAACCTTTGAAATGTGCTTAATCATGAATAAGTTATATAAATTATCAACATCTCTCATTTGTTTTAAAATACTATATATACCTACATACATGAACATAGTACGTAGCAACTTACTTTTCAATTCACATTGTGCCATAAATAAATAAAATTATAAAATACGTGTAAAAATTACAGCAAAATACGATCAGTTAAGTTTCCATGTATAAGGTTTATTTACCAGAATAAACCAAGCTTGCGTTGGATGGACACGTCTTCTTACCCCATCTTGTGTATACAATGTTTCTGTTTCCTATGCCTACTAAAAGAAGAAATTGAAAAATCTTTCATAAAAGAAATATACATTGAATGGCAAATATTAACTGTGTATATTTCATGTATTTATTGTTGTGTTATACCATCATCCGGTATGCTAGCATTTACTTCCTCTTTTAACTTTTTCATAGACTTCTCAATGACGTCAGTGAAGCTTTTGAATTCCCGCCTTAAAGCTTCTACCTGATATGACCCTAGAGCAGACGACAATTGTCCTGTTAGGTAACCCTGTAGCATGTCTTTACAATTTCCGGTCTGCATTTCTCCTCTTGCCATGGAAAGAAAAACAACCAAGGCTAGATAATACACCATCATCTGAGGAAGAAATGAAGCATTATTGTCTAAATGAAATACTTAAAAAAAATCATAGCCCATACAGTCCAATGAAAAATGAAGACAAATACTATTGTAAATTGAAAATATGTCAAATCTTGGTATGCTTAAAAATTATAACAATTCCTTGCATCCTACCTTCGTAATGAATGTTTCCTAAATAAGAAATAAAAATATTATTTTCTGTCAATTTATAATAATTCTTTATTTGAAGATTCACCTGTCATATGATATCAACCTACACATTTTTGCCTTACAGATAAACACGAAGAAGGTAGATTTAAATGTAATTTTACACCGATACGAAGTCCATGGGATTGTGATTAAACAAGTGTGGCTCGTTTCAGAAAGTGTGCTAAGTTTTTGACTTAATGGTCATTAGCTTGATTTAGGCGCAGTCTTAGGCCCTCTCTAAGTACTACTTACCTATGTCTTACGCCGTAACAGAAAAGGAACTAAGCGAGATCGTCGCTATGTCAAACTTATGTTTGTAAAACTTCTTTTAAAGTTGCTCTTTTTCAAAATATATACACATATATATATTAATTAATTGATTTCTTTACTGATTATCACGATAGCTAAAAATAAATATCATAGAAACATTTCAGTTTACCTATTCTTGTATCTGATTGTTCACTCGTTTGGCATGATACATGTAACTGAGCTTCCAGCTATCTTTAGGAAATACGCAACGTAGTTGAACTTATTGTCTTTTTCCCTGGAGTTGAAGAGTTCCAATACTTGAAGGAAATGTGTGTACATTTTAATGTCTACCTAATATGCTGTTGTTCACTTCTTCTAAAACAATTCTGGATAAACAAAATATTTAGAATATATATTCAGTAATTTTTGTATATTTTTCTTTGAATTATACAAGAATTTCCATCAATTGATATCTTTTCTAAACCCCTGGTAATGCATGCTGATTTTATGTCTACGAACAACTGATGGCACTATAATCTTTAATTAAGAATATCTTGAAAAATTATCAGTAGGTAAGGTATGTTCTTAAACTAACCCTCGCAAAGTGCAAAATAATGGTAATTTTTGCCCATTGTAGTTGAATGTCAGCAAGCAAATTCTTTTCATACTCACCCACCCCCACCCTTCTTGAAAACAGGGGTATACACGGATGGGATGTCCGTACATGCGTACGCACCTCCGTCCTTACGTCCTCACGTCCGTACACTTGGGGTACCCATCTCTTATCCGAAACTCCTCCTACACCACTTAATAAAATGTAATGAGATTTTCGCAAAATCTTTTTTTAACAGATTTAAGTATCCCAACCATATAATAATTCGCATGTATGTTAAAAGTGTTATTTTAAAGATCAATGATCAATACATCTCTTCTTATAACTAATAATTCAATGTTATATACCTCTAATATTTACATATCCACTCCGCCGCCGCCCCCCCCCCTCCTACCCCACAGGGAAGACTCATGAGGCCGTTCATATGTAACGATTACTTATAGATATTCAATTTGTTAATCTAAATATGAATAGATAATTGTTCTAATACCGAGATTTTATAATGAATAGTTCTAAATATGTTTAAAGATACTTACGACATACTTTCATACTTTGTCACCTGCAGGAGCTCGTAACATAAAGCTTGCTAGGTCATGGCCGTAGGAACCGGGGGGGGGGCACGGGAGAGCCGTGCCCCCCCCCCCAATAATTTTGCCGATACATAGATTACTATAGAAAATATAGAAACTGTATGCTTGTGCCCCCTCAATAAAAACGTCTGATGACTTTTTTTTTTTTTTGCTTGTCAAGAAATATTGGGTAGTTGATAGTGCCCCCTCAACCGAAAATGTGTGGCTGTGCCCCCCCCCCCCCCCAAGTGAAATTGCTTCCTACGGGCCTGTAGGTTTTTGACTTAAGTAGGGTCATAAGTATGACTTAGGCACAATCTGAGAACTGCTTAATTAAGTACTGCTTAAGGTATGTCACTCGTCAGCCTTTTAGAAAATTTCAGTCAGAACCTGTTACTTAAAAACTATTTATTACAATTCAATCTTTATAACATATTTAAATTAAACAATGTAAAATGTTCAACATTCAATTAAAAAACTGCTCAAAAATTCACAAAGAAGCAAGATTTATAAGGGACTATTTCTTGTGGCGGAAGGATATTTAGCAGAAAATTCTGCAAATCTACAAATTTATTAATTGAATATCTTAGAACTTTAGCCTCACATACTTTTACTCAGAGAATATTTTCCGTTATGATATGCCTGGAATATTAAATATAGGTCTTAATTTATATTTTTATAACAGAATTTACACCTTCGCTCAACAAACATTGCCAAGAAATGAAGATATATCAAGGAAGTCGAGATAAAATTTACACAGTTTTTTGCCAGAAAATCGCATATTTTGACCAATATTTCAAAATTTACATCACTGACCCCAACTTTTTCTTTCATTATTTTAAACTACTCGATACTTTTGACCGATCAGCACTTAAGTCGTAAAAAGTTTGATAGAAGAAAATATTCTATTGCCTATTTAGATTTTTAATACCCCAAATATGAGACTTTTTTAGTGCAAAAAGGTCACACAATAATTTACGCGCATTAATTTGCATGATTTGTTCAATGATGAATATTATTCAAACTATTTTACATAAAATAAGATTATGTTTATTGCCATGGTTACATCTTATAAGATATGATAACGGTTAAAGTGATTAACCAAAGAGTTACAATTTAAGTGCAAAAAGGTCAACTTAATTGTACCGTAGCTCAGTTAGATGCACACTGACCCCCCATTTTCTCTGCGATTTTGAGTCATACTATATGAGTACTTATCCAAAATATACTTCTCAAAAAATCCTTGATATAACAAATTTCACGAGTGACATACCTTAAGTGTGTCTTCTGCCGTAAAATAAAACGAACTAAGCTCATCGACAATTTCTCAGTCTCTTAAAGTCTATTTCATCTCCCATTTTCACAGTTAACATACAAATACATGATTACTGTGTACAATTTACCTATAATGATTAGTGTTTATAACCTAGGTCCCATTTCAAAAGAAATCCCCCCCCCCCCAAAAAAAAAAAGAAAATTCCATCTACATATATCCCATGTTACCTTCACCCCACGAAAAACTAAAATTCTTAACCAGTATTAGATAGAGATAATTATTTTCTTTAGTGCATAATACGAATAGAGGAATGTTTTAACGTAGAAGTTCACCGTTTAATAGTTCTAAATATGTGTATAAAATAGTTCAAACATACTTAAGTCAACTCTACCGGCCGCCTAAGTTTAGCTAAGATTGTCAAAACTTAGCACGCTTCTAGGTACGGTCTTAAGTCCAAGATTGTACTTAAATCCTTCTTAAGCGTGGTCATAGAATTAAGTACCCCTTATGTTATGTCCCCAAGGGTTCAATGCAAATGCACGACTTATGTTTATCACTCGAGGCTGTGATGTTTCCAGTTTATCCTTTGTTGTAACTTTTGTTTTTACAAATGTATACTCGCTTTGTCATTGTCGCAAACAAAGGCACGATAACGGAACGTCTATATCTACTTAAAATTAAAACTCTGTTTAAAAAAGTTAAAAACACTACTCTTACAGGGAATTCTGAATTCTCTTTTTCCCGATGCATCAGCGAAATTCAGCAAGGGAAGACTGTAGAATTTCATGCTATACTTATTTACAATTTAATTAATCGAGAATCAAAGAAAATTATTTTCAGAAAATAATTTTTGCATGTCCAGCTAGAACTTACATGTATCAACAGCTCTCTCTCTCTCTCTCTCTCTCTCTCTCTCTCTCTCTGAAGGTAGAGTGCGCCCTGTCTGAATCCTTACTCGTCATGTTCTACATTGAATCTAATTTACAGAGTCTCTTTATTAGCTTTTTAGTCATCATCTTTTAACTCACTGACAATTTTTCTGTCTCTTAAGAGTCAGTCTGCGAGAAAACCATGCAAAATACAAAAAAAAATCGTTCAAATGGAAGGTTGCAACTTAGGATTTTTTAGTGGCTGGAAATTTTCTACATAAAAGTAGAAATCAGAATATCGAGAGAAAAAATTTCGAACCTCGCATCTATTTTCAGTGACAGCTCATTTGCATATTGTCGAAAATTACACTAAATTAAATGGAAAAACTATACAAATTGATCGATTCATTTTTCTCTTTTCTGCCATCAATTTACAGTGTAGTTTCAAATTTTGTTTTTCATTTTCAAATTTATGGTCTAATTTATATAATTAAAGATGAAAAACGGAATTCAAATGAATGTTTTAATTTTTGAAGGACTGTTTATAGATCCTAAATCAACGAGAATGATTTTGTAGCCATTTTGATATTTTTGACATTTTTTTCTCAAGACCAAGAAAAAAAACAATTAAATTTATTTTATATTTTTAATTTTATAAATAGTGTAATCTTTAGAATGATCTTGGGTCTAATATGTATTAAAATATTGAGCTTGGGAAATAATATCTTCATGTTGTAAATTAACTTTGAAATACCATACCATGGCCGTAGGAACCGAGGGGCCGTGCCCCCCAATAATTTTGCTGATGAAATAGAAAACATAGATAGCTATTATATGCTTGTGCCCCCTCATTAATGACGTCTGATGACCTTTTTTTTTTTTTTTGCTTGTCAACTTGAAAATGTACGGTTGTGCCCCCTCAAAGTGAAATAGCTTCCTACGGCCCTATCATAAATCGCTACAATTTCACATATTCTTAATAATAGTATATTATCATATTCACAGACTATTTTTTAATGTCTCAATGAAGAAAAAGGATTCTAAATCTAATATATTTTTTTTAAAAATAGAAATAACCGATTTAGATACTTCATATAACTTTTTATTGCTTACAATGTATTTTAGCCCCCTGCAACCAATTTCCTAGAGTTAAATTGTTATCTCCCCTTGTTGGAACTATTTAGTATTATTGGGTAAAAAATGACAAGTGTATCAACATGGAATAAAGAAGG